AGCCATGCTGACTAGGGAATTCTGGGAGTTGAAGTCCACTCATCTTAAAGTGGCCAAGTTTGGACAACACTACTTTATGCAAACTGGAGACAGTGAGTAAGACATTGTAAATCAAAACTATTGGCAACTAGGGAGAATAGCTACCTTCTTACTTGCCATTTGTGACAGCTGATCTATCACGGTCATTACCTTTCATTGCAAGTACAAGTAGGTTTTTCTGTAAAGTTGAATCTATGAAAACTATTTCCTTTTCTGAACAAGATAATTTTTTTCCTTGACTATTACGAGAATTGGCTTTTCTCTCTTTCATGTGACTAATCTTTTAAATGTCATTCTGTTTATTACCCTAAACCCAAAACTTAAAGCTTACTGTGGAAATTTAAAAATCTACCTCTTTCTTGCAATCAGTTTTTCATAATGGAATATTTAATAAGGTATTTTTATTTTATGGATTCCATTATTCCTCGATCTGAAACTTCCATGAAATGCCTTGGTTACATACATGCCTAAGTACATATTTATCATCTACTCCCTTTCAGGTAAGCAATGTTATGCAGAGCACAGAAAATGAGTAAGAGATAGTTAGCCAAAGAAATTCAAGGCATAAGAAAAGAAAAGATGATTAAAACAAGCATATGCCAAAATTATTCATGATACTTCTCCATATCTTTCTGTCCTTTCAAACCCTCCTTGCTTCCACCACCTCCACATACCCCTTCAGATACTCTCTTTTGTTCTTTAAACTTCTCTTTCATCAGTTCTCTTCAGCCATGACTTTCTCAGGCTTCCCCTTCCTCTTGACTCATCAGTTCTTCTTTTATGTATTTGTTTTGCAATTTGATCCTCCTTCATTCTCTCTATTTGACCACACCACTTCAATGTACTTCTTTTGTACTGGTCACTCATTTTTGTATTCAACCCACACTCAGTCAGCACCTGATAATTCTCAACCCTTTATCATCTTGTATTAACACAGACTTAAGTACTCAGTTCCCACTGCATTCACTTTACTTTGCTTCCCCTGAAATACACAGCTCTCACTTCCATGTGGTAAAAGGGGCAGAAGCATGCTCCTATATACAGCCATTTTAGTTTTTTCCAACAAATATTCATTCTTTGAACCAACAATGCACTATCCACTAGCTTTCTGCCAGCATTTGCACATCTTAAAGCCTCTCCATCTGTCTTCCTGTCTTTAATAAACATTCTACCAAGATACACTAAATTATCTATTTGCTCTAGTTTTTGTCATTAATAAGTAACTGGCAATCATTAATTCCTTTGATACGTATCATACAGTCAATCTGATTTTTAGTGCAAAAGGTACACGGAACTTTCCAAATTTTGCTTATTGTCACCTTTTGTATCCTTTGGATCATAATTCTGTGAAATACCATCCCAAGCACACATCAAATCAATCCCTCTGTAGTTTTTTCATTCTGTGTTGTACCTTTCCCATTGTATAAGGGAAATATAACAGTATTCTTACAATTGTCAGGCACAGACACAGTCTTTACATATACAGTAGTCCTCGCTTAATGACCATTCTTTCAGCGACTATTCGAAATTACAAATGCAGAAAAAAATGGACTTATGACTTGTGCCCAAAATTACAACCATTGCAATGCCCCTGCAGTTACAAGAACAAAATTCAGGCACTTGTCAGCCTGCCTGCACTTACGACTGCAGGGGTGCTTAAACTCCCCCCACCAGCCTATCTGCCCCCCATCTCTGCCCTTTTGGCCTCCTGCTGCCCTTTGCCACTGTCTTCTTGCTCTCGCTGCTGAATAGGCATGCCCAGCCTAGCTGCTGGGCCCTATGGGGCTGGCTTCGTGCTAGGAAGAAGGGAAGAAAGCCGAAAGCAGCCTTTTTCTTCTTTGCAGTGCAAAGCCAGCCCCTCCCCCTCCCAGGAGCTCCAAAGAGGGCTTCATGCTGTGAAGAAGGGAAAAAGAACTGAAAGCAGCCTTTTCCTTCCTTTCTTCGCAGAGCTCCCTCTCGTCCCTGGGGGCTGGCTGAAAAACCTTAGTGCCAAAATCCAAGCAGGATTTTGGCACAGAGCTTTTTCAGCCAGCCTCCAGAGTTGAGAGGGAGTCCCCTTGGCAGGGGGCAGCAGCTTGCGACTTCCCTGCTGGCTTCTCCAGAAAGGCAATGGGGAAGACAGCAGAGAAGATTGAAAATGGTGGTCACATGATCGCGGGGCGCTTGGCAATTGCAAGCTGCTGCTGCCTGCCAAGAGGACTCCCTCTCACCTCTGGGGGCTGGCTGAAAGTGGCCCATGCCGAAATACAAGCAGGATTTTCAGCCCTGGAGTGGAGAGGTTTCAGGAGTCTCTCAACTCTGGGGCTGAAAAGCTAAGCAGTTCTGAGGCCCTCCTGCACCCAACCTGAACCACACCCCTGCAGACTCTCACCCTCCCACGCATCCCCTCGCTCCCCCACCTGGCAGTGCCTGGGGCTTGCAACTTCCTTCTGGCTTCCCCACTGACTTGATTGTGGGAAGCTGGCAGGAAGTTGCCTCACCTAATGACCTGGGCATTCACTTAACGATGGCAACTGGGACTGCTGGATTACGGTCACTAAGTGAAGCAGTCACCTGATAATTTGCTTAATGACTATGTCGCTTAGCATCCTAAATTCCAGTCCCAATTGTGGTCATTAAGTGAGAACTATCTGTATATTAAAACAGATCACACCATGTTCCATGAACAAACCGTTCCATGAGCTTAACAGTTCTCTGTATGTGGTCTGAATTGCAACCTTACCATTTACCAACATTCTCATGGCATGTGATGACATCCTTTTAATCAGTATTTTATTGAATGCTAAAATGGCATTCATTTCAATTCCATTCTATGAGATATCACTATCATTCCCATATCAATCTCTAAAATATTCCTTCAAACATTCCCAGCTTTAGTTTTTCTAAGGAAAGAAACTGACAAGGGAGGAACAGGAACCAGCTGTTCCCAGGTTACAGCAATATAGATCAAGTTCCTTCCAAGGTCATCAAAAGAATGGCCAGGTGTCCATTGATTCAGGAAGGCAGCAGAAAAAAAGTCTAGAATTTAAAACTATACATAGGCTTTGATTTCTGTATGCTGCTGTAGGCCATTTTCTGTATATGTATGGTTTCATTCTTGGCTGTAAGAAAGTAACAAATCTTATATAGTCATGTCTGTGAGCCTCCTGTTGAGTAAGCCAAAGGCTGAATATGGGGTCAAGGTGTTCAGAGTGCTGTGATTTACAACTGTGCCTAGAGTGAATCATGCTATCTTTGTGGGATTTGCCCACACTTACTGCTATGGTGGGAGACCCTTCATCTATAGACTAAAGATTACATTGTGACTACAAATATTTTGCAACTCTGCTATCTGTCGGTTATGATACCAGTGTCTTGCTCCAGTATCAGAGTCAAGCTGTGACCCAAATGGAACACTTAGCCAGATGTGCTAGCCCAACCCACTAGCCCAACAGGTGAAATAGAATCTACTGCAGCCAGTGGTTCCTGAAGCACTCTTGATCAGGACTCTGTAACTGTGATTGAAGCAGCTGCAATAGCTATAGCTCTCTGTCTCAAAATATTAGTCTTTTGGCCTGATAATTTTTTGGAATGGAAGCAAATCGATTACCTTACTCAAAATGAATATACCTTTTCCTGAGACCAGATGACTTTCCCACCAACAGGAACCCAACTTTCAGTGGTACCAATGTTAGGTGTCCCTCAGGCAACAAGAACAGATTTCCAAAAACATAAATGCTCAGGTGTATGTTTTATTGTAGAAAAGCCGGGAAGCCATTATGAAAGAATTCTGGCAACTGTGTATCAGATGTTTATAGTCAAAATCTGTGTTCAAATTCTTCTACCTCTTTTTCCCCAAAGATTATCAAAATGATTTAGAAGAACTTCCTTGAGCATAGTACCTTTCTGCTGCTTGTTAAAAGAGCTGTGTCTTTAACTCCTTAAAGAACTGGATCTTTTTTCCCTCTTGCACAGAAGCCTAAGCACCCTCACATATGGCTGCTTTAATGAGAAGCAGAGAGATGCTGTGCTTGTATAGGTTCCAAATTACTTCTCCTTAAACACTTTTGAACTGTGCATAGCTCTAGAAATTGTGCTTGGAAGTTTCCTCTATATCAGGGTTTCTCAGCCTTGGCAACCTTAAGATGAGTGTTAAGATAATAACATGGCTGGCTGGGGAATTATGGGAGTTGAAGTCCACTCATCTTAAAGTTGCTGAGGTTGAGAAACACTGCTCCTTATGAGAACTGCCATTGAGGCTCAGGGAATTAAATGCTTCAACCTGCTTGGTAGGTACAAGGTTTAAATCCCTGTAATATGCTTTGAAACATCTTTGGAGTGGGACCAACAAGTCTTTTTTTGTCTTTTGACACCCAGAAGAGTTGTAGGAACTCAAAGATCTGAACCAGGGAGAGAGGCTAGAAGTTTCATGTACATAGCTGGGACTCTGCAGTTAAGGACTTTGCCCCCAGAAATTGATAGAATTAAAATATATTGGGTTGTTTTCTGTATAGATTGTATTAAGAAAAAACTTTTAAGCAAATATAAGTTGTTTTATTCAAAAGGTCATCTTTTTAATCCCATGAATTAATCCCCCCCCCCCAGTAAATTCTATGGCTGAGATCCGAAAAGCTCTTGTAGACATGTTCATAGACATGCTCCCTGGGGGTTCTCCTTTTTTTAATAGTGGGCCTTCATATCTCTGTGAGAAACCAGTTTAAATTTCCCTTAATTTCATAGTTGGGCTTGCCATGTGTTGTGAGTGGATGTTTGAAAAAGATTAACACTTGTGTGCCTGCAGAACTAGTTGCTGTGTTCTTTGGCTTTTGAAATAATGTGTATGCTCTTTTGGTACTGATATGCCCATTGATCCTTTTAGAACCAGGAGTTCTGGTCTTCTCCAGTAGAGGGGGTGCTGCCATTAACTCTGGACAGCTATTGCTTGCTTGGGCTGGTCTAGTATGTGGCATACACACGCTTTTTTAAATACAGAATTTAATCCTGCAGATGCAATATAGATGATTATGTGGTGAATCAGCATAGAGAAATTTACTAGGGTATCAGCCTCATAGGATTTTATTTTTAATGCGAGTTTGATTATATTTATAGAAAATCTTCTTTGACTGATGCAGATTATACCATTGAAGAATAGTAGCTTTTATAAGCTTTTAAATAAAATCCTTGCTTAAACTTCTATTAGTTTCAAACGTGATGTGTTGAGACTAAAAATACTTCATCCCTTTGTATTTCAGGCTGTTCCTGAGCACTTTTACTCTTGCAGTTTCAGCTGGTGCTGTGCTCCTCTTGCCTTTCTCAATCATTAGCAATGAGATTCTGCTTTCTTTTCCACAAAGTTATTACATCCAGTGGTTGAACGGTTCTCTAATTCATGGTGAGTATGATGTAATATAATATTGCTGAATGTGTAATGTGTTACAGCATGTGAGTGCCTTCAAGGGTAGCATATATGCTTCTTATCAGAACCATAAGCGCATGGAAAGCAGTTGTGAGAGTAAAGGGAAGTGGCAACCTATGCTACCTGCAGGATGTTTAATAAATGAATAACATAAAGGGTCTGATTATTTTAATAGAATTTGGAAGTCATATTTGGGAAATTGTATAGTTGTGTGAATTTTCTTAATAACCAGTAATATAGTCAGCAACTTGAAAAGTCTGTATAATATTGGAAGTCAACATTATGTGATGTTTGTTTGATATATATTTCTCTGGTGGTCCTTAGTCATTTTGAAATAGAGAATGTTTGCCATTATTTCTGTACTTCCATTTTCCTGGAAGATACTTTAAAGGAATTTGGCAGCCAATGGTATAAAACATTTTATCAAATAATTGATATAGCTACTCTTCTTGGAGTTATTTTCAGAACCTTAAAAAAATGTTTATACTTAATATAAATGTGTTGTATTTGCAGAAATTAAACAGAAATCATATTGTAATGACAGTGGTACCACCATTTTTATACAACACTTTTGACAACCCCAATTTTAAAGAGAAAATTGAAAGGCCTCATACCAGATTAATATGTTCAGTTTTAAAACCCAGTATAGAAAGCAAAGGAAAAAAGCTAAAAAGCTATTAAATGCTAAAAGTACATTTGCCAGGCTGGAAGAATCACAAGCCGGAATTAAGATTGCAGGGAGAATCATCAACAACCTCAGATATGCGGAC